GACGGCGTTACTTGTGAACTCGACTTTTCTGTCCAGAAACTAGGCCCAACGATTTTGAGATATTTAGGCTCCTAATCTTCATAGACTCCGTCCTTAGTCTCTAACAAAAACCTAGTGTTGTTGGACCTTAATACTCATGTGAATCGAGTTCAGGATCTCTTGGTGCTTAGGATCCTTTGTTGTTGCTAGCATAGGTGTGACCATTGCAGATGCGTCGCATTCCTTCATGCTCAACTCCGGGCGGTATTATTTCCGTGACCACACGCCCTTGCGCCTCTTCGAGCTCCTGTTGCAATCGCAATTGCCAATCCCATCTCTAAACAGGCCGTCCAGCGCAGCCCATGTCCGGCAGTGCCCTCTGGCACCCTAACAAGTCTGCATCTTTTGTTCTTTTGTAGGAACTTGGTCGATGTGGGTCTTTAGGACCTGGGTGTCATCACCACGTTTCCCTGGCACGGGCAATTTGCAAATTTTGCATACTCTTCCATGAGGGGCACTCTTGCCATATTCTCCCGAGATTTTCGCTATGAGAGCCTCTTCATATTCTGCACATGGACAAATTTGCTCACCACAATGTTTCCGTTGTAGTGGAAGGCCAATAAGCCTAACGCTCTTCTCCTGTGGATTGCAGCCGTCCTCACCCATCGAGGCCACCCTGTGATTCATTTGTACTCTAACCTGAATGGCAAGCTCACCTCCAATGAGATTGAGCAATTTTGTCGTGCGCATGGCAACTGAATGTTCTACTCGCAGCCGAACCCCTCGCAGCAAAATGGGATGGCTGAGCGTCGCATTGGCCTGATCATAGAGATCGCTTGTACCTCTACGTGTCATGCTACTGCCCCCCATTTTCAGCGGCCCTTTGTATTCCGCTATGGTGCGCAGAAGCTTAACCTTTGGCCCCGTTCCTCACGCCTACAGGTCTATTAACCATCCTCTGGACTAGGTCCCCTGCTCCAGCGTTTTCTCTCCATATATGGGGTTGTCTTGCTCACGTCCGCGATTGCGGCTGCACGTGCGATGTTGCATACGGCTGGGTGCTGCTGCTGGTTGGGCGTTGACGTGCAAAGCACGCTGCTTCCGTGACATGGGGCGATTAGCGACGCCTAAGGAGGTGCGCGGCAGGGCCTGCGAGGGGGCGCGTTACAGGATGCTCATTGTAGGTTCTAGGAAAGAGCCTGCTCTTATACCATCTCAGAGTAAGAACAACGGAATGATTGAACTAGGAATGTGGGCAACACAAGTACAACCCTGAAATGTGCTATACTCTCTACAATATGCCTCACTACGGCGTGGCATACAAATATATATATATATATATATATATATATATATATATATTGACATACCCATATAGGCTAAAGTGCAAGAGCTCAAGTGGTCACAAGACCAGTCAAGATAAGCAACATGCCAAAGGTTAGTGTGGATCACCATACATTCTAAGCACAAGTAAGAGGGCATAAGGCCAGTTCAAGAGTTCACAAAGGGCTTGCCTCAACAAGGCCTAGCTATGGACGGAACCTGTGGTGGTCGCCAAGCGGAAGGGCCTTGGTGAAGATGAACGCGTGCTGAGGCCACTAAGTCCAGGCGCAACCGGCCGGGCCGGTGCAGCTCTCGCAGTAGAAAGTACCTCACTGTGATGTGGTTACCTCTGCACTCCAGTCGAGGCTCTCAAAATAGGAGGATTATAGCTTTGTTGTCATCGAACAAGGTTGGTGCAGAGTTCGGCCGCTCACCAAGGTCAATGCACAAGAAGACCAGCCAGCAAAGCTCCCGCGTAGCCACGGCACCGCCGTAGATTTCGGCCTCAGCACTAGAGCCCGCGCCGCAAACGATGACCAAGTAGACTTCCATAACACAGCACCAGCACCAGAGCTCAGCACCAGCACCCTAGACCGCGCCACAAACGACGACCAAGTAGAATTCCATAACACAACACCAGAGCCCAAGAAAAAGAACTCCCTTTAGTATACCTTTGGGTCTCGACGTCGTTGGCGTAGGAAGGCTCGAAGTGGCCAGTCAGCACAACGGGGTTCTTGGCGTCGTGCCACTCACGTGGCGCCTGGCGGGGACCATAGACTGGTCGTCTCAGGCTCCACCGGTTCCCAAGCAAGAAAGTGCCAGCGAAGCTAGGAGGACAGCACACCCTCTCCTTGTGCAGGCGGCCCTGAAGAGGCAGTGGAGAAGTCGAGTGAGTGCAGCTTGTAGTCTCGCTGTGCTGGAATGTGAAGTATCACCCGAATAGTCGTGATTTTCGGGGTCGGGGCAGAGGTCTAGAAGAATTTAACCCTTTCACACTGACTTAAGCCTCTAGCCACATAGCGGCTTGAAGACAAATAGTGATCCAGGCGGCCGCTTCACCTTGAAGATCTACATGTCTTCAACTACCTTCGCCCAAGGAGGGGGAACTGCGTGACCTAAGTGCCCGTGGATCTCAAAGACGCCATCTTTGGGTCCATGGCCACTATCCACTAAGAGCTCTACTGCCTCACGATAGGTGCAAGGAGTAGGTATGTCAAGGGCGTCGAGATCTCTCTCAGGGCCAAGCAGCATGGCACAGAGATGGGGAGAAGCGGCTGCCAAGAACTCTTGCTAAAATCGCCTGTCCTCTATAATGTCACAAGCAAGAGCAGACTCACCCCCAGCGGACAGAGGATGAGTAGCCACCACACGGGTGGCGTAGTCAAGGCGGCGAGTCGTGGCAAAGTGAGAGACATCGGCAACAAGAGCCGAGACAGACGACAGAGAGGCAATAGTTTTGAACAGGAATGGAGTATTGGCCTCGCCCTCGCTTGGGCGACGCCGACGTCCTGGTCGGATGTACGGGAGAAGCAGCCGACCGTTCGCATTGAGGGAGCTGCTTGACGGGCATCGTTGAGCTGCAGGGGGTTGCTGCGGTGTTGCCATCGAGTGGGGGGGCTCGACAACCTTCTTCTGCAGGGCAGGTTGACGTGGTGGTCGTCGACCTGCACAGGTCTGTCGCGGGGCTGGAGCCATCGGCCAGGGGAGCTCGACGGCAGCAGCTAGATGAGCTGGTCGACGGATGGGCCGTCGACTAGGAGGAGCAGCTGACAGTGCTGGTAGACGGGTGTTTTGACCAGGGTGTTCCTCGACGGGAGTTGTGGTTGACGAGGGAGGCGTCGACCAAAGCACTGGGTGGTCGACCAGATTGACCAGGTTACCTGCTCGGCGAGTTATGCGGAGGCACGCAAATGTTGTCGAGGTCGCGGTATCCTTAAGTCGACTTCAAGCTAGTATCCTAAAGTTGATGTGGCTTGTCAGGCGCAGACCAGGGTCGGCGGATGCACAACGGTGCAAGTCGGGCCAATCGTCTGCCCGCACCCGCGGACGTGCGCACTGCTATCTTATACGGGTGCAATGCTAGACAGCTGCTCTGCTGCAGCGTTGGCACACCGTCGACCTGCTACGTTGGCGGGCCTTGTTTCTGCAGTGCTAGCGCCGCTCCTCTACGCAACGCTGGCAGGCGGTCGACCATGCTATGCTGGTGGTCGACCAGGCTAGCTGCAGAGTTGCTAGGTGCTCTGATGTAGTCATTCTTATTGTTGCTTGTTCATTATATTCTAAAATGCAATCTTTACCAAGTGGAAACTCTTGCCAATTTCTCCCATGATAGCGCAAGTGCTAAGGAACTAAGCAGAGCTACAATCAGTCCTAGAGTTTGTGCCAACACCCTATAGGAACTCACCCAATAGAGTTACTCTACAATAGTCGGTAGTCGACGTTGCTCACCTCAACGAAGCGCGGGAGGCCCACGTTGATGACACATGTGACGGCGGGCGGGATCGTGACGGCGTATGGCCACTTCAAGTTCACGCTGGACAAAATCAACGCCACGCCGTTGGAACCTCAACTAGAGGTTGCTGAGCTAAAGGGCTTTGCACACGGCACCGTGCCAATTCCGCCCGAGGACGAGGTCGAGCTGCGCAGGAATTTTCTGCCGCTCACATGCTCACCTTCGTGGTCATCTCGAGGTGCTGCTTGCCGGTGGTGCAGATATTGCTCAAGCTGTGTCCAGAGCGACTAGATGCTGGTCACCAAGCGTGGCACTTTATACTGTCGATGTATCAGGCGACGGGCGACTCGTACATCGGACAGCTAGAGGAGTAGATAACACACCTTCAGATGGGCGAGCAGGAGTCGGCGTCGGACTACTGCAACCGTTCTTGACAGATCTTGGCTAAGATGTCGACGGCGTCCTACATCACCCACGTCGTCAAGGGCCTGCCGCGCAACTACAATCTCATGAAGAGGATGATGATGGTGCCCGACACGCGTGTATTCCTCAACCAGGACTCCTTCACCATCAACGTCATCAAAGACGAGGCTCTGCAGGAGGCAGAACAGCCCACAAAGCTCCTTCCGTAAACAAGCTATGCCGCCCCGACGAAGCCGAATTGACAGAAGGGGCCATGCGGGAAGTCGAGCAGAGGTGGTACTTCAGTATTGATGATCCACCGTTCAACAGAAGCGAGATCGGCCATGGGATTGGCTTCTGTAAAGGCGTGAAGGCGGGATTCATAGTCTGGGGTGAGGTTGAAGAGGAGGCGATGGATTTGGAGGGGTTCGGAGAGGCCGGCTTGGCGGGCTTCGAGGCGATCGACTACCTCTCGCATGCGGCCGACATAGTCTACAGCTCCGTCACAGGTGGCGAGGGTAATAGAAAAATATTCTTGGAAGAGGATTCCAACCGATCTTATGTCACGGCGTTCGAACATAGCATGTAGTTCTGCCCAAATCACCGAGGCACGGAGTTCCCGAGCCTGGAAGCGGCGCATGAGGGAGTCAGGGAGGGCACTGAGAATGACGGTGCAAGCTCGATTGTCAGCGGCTGACCATGCGATGAACTTTGGAATGAAGGAAGCCATATCTTCGTTGTATTTGGCGACGACGACGAGGTGAGCATTGCGGCCAGCAACCGCTCGGGTGTAGGCATCAGCTGGTGCATCGTATTCAGCTTTGCAGATGAGGTAGGCACGGCGATGCATAATGAAATCTTCATCTCCGGTAGCTTGGTCGGCGGCGGTCTGGAGCTTGGGCTCAAGGAGAGGATTGCCAGGAGGGGGAGGGAGAGGAGGGGTCTCGCCGGGGTGGTCGGGTTCGGTGGGGGGGAGGGCATGGGGGCGGCGGAGGATTACGTCAAGGACGCGCTAGGGGGGGACCCATGCGTCATTGAGGACTCGGCGGATGTTGCCGACAAACGAATGCCACTTAATCGCAGATTTGTCAGCTGCAAGCTGCAGTTTGTCAATGGAGGAAGTATCGATAGAAGGAGGGAGGGGGGAGAGGGAGGGCATGGGGTTAGCCATGAGGGACGGCTGCGGGTGGACCCGCAGTGGTCACGGAAGCGCGCAGGCGGCGGCAGCTGGCGGGGCTGCTGTGGCGTAGGTGCGGAAGCGGTGGAGAGGTGGAGGAATGGCGCAGGCGGCGGCGGTTAGTAGGACCGTGACAGCACAGGCGCGGATGTGGCGACGAGGCCGCGGAGGGGGGGGGGGGGGGGGGAGAGGGGGGGGGAGGGGGGTGGTGCGGGCAACAGCGGCTGGCGAGGCCGCGGCGACGGCCGCCACGGAGGCGGCGACGAGGCCGCGGAGGGGAGCGGCGCGGGCAACGGTGGCTGGCAAGGCCGCGGCGAGCGCAGGCGCGGAGGCGGCGACGAGGCCGCGGAGCGGCGCAAGGTGGCGTCGGCTGGTGAGGCCGCGGCGGACGCAGGCGCAGAGGCGGCGACGAGGCCGCGGAGGGGAGCGGCGCGGGCGGCGGCGGCTGGCGAGGCCGCGGTGACGCGGGCGCGGAGGCGGCTACGAGGCCGCGGAGGGGGGAATGGCGCGGTCGACGGTGGCTGGCGAGGTCGCGGCGACGGCAGGCGCGGAGGCGGCTACGAGGCCACGGAGCGGTGCGAGGTGGCGGCGGCTTACGAGGCCACAGCGAGCGCAGACGCAGAGGTGGCAACAAGGCCGTGAAGGAGAGCGGCGCGGGCGGCGGCGGCTAGCGAGGCCGTGGCGACGCGGGCACGGAGGCGACGACGAGGTCGCAGAGGGGGGGGGGGGGGGGGGGGGAAGGCGCGGGCGACGGCGGCTGGTGAGGCCGCGGCGACGGCAGGCGCGGAGGCGGCGACAAGACCGCGGAGCGGCGCGAGGTGGCGGCGGCTCGTGAGGCCGCGGCAAACGCAGGCGCGGAGGCGGCGAGGAGGCCGCGGAGGTGGGGCGGCGCGGGCGGCGGTGGCTGGCGAGGAGGCCGCGGAGGGGAGCGGCGCGGGCGGCGGCGGCTGGTGAGGCCGTAGCGACGCGAGCGCGGAGGCGGCGACGGGTCCGCAGGAGGGAATGGCGGCGGGCAGCGGCGGCTGGCGAGGCCGCGGCGACGGCAGGCGTGGAGGCGGCAGCTGGGCCGCTGAAGGAAAAAAGCGCTAAGGAGGGGGGGAGGAGGCAGAGTAGCCGGGAAAAAAAATATGAAGGGAGGAGGCCGGGGGTTGCGGCGGCCGGGTGGGCCTTTGAAACGAGAGGAGTAGGCCTAGGATAGTGAGCTCTTTACCGTGTGGGAAACAAGAGTTAGAATAGAAGTTGATGCTTTGATTGAGAATCATGGGGGTATACATAGTAGGGGGTTGGATACTAGCCTAGGTTGGCATTATTGGACCCCAACCAAGAAGTTGGGTTGGGTGATTATTGGTGGGGTCCAATAATGTTGGCCAAGTTGGGTTTGGGCCAACATTATTGGAGGGAGCCAATAATTCTACCCAACCCAACCTTTTGGGGTCCAATAATTGGACCAAGGTTGGGTTCCAACCTACAAACTGGGTTACCCCTATTTGTACACCCAAACTAAGTTTGGGTGCTTATCTCTAGCCTATCCTATAGCATATATGCAGGTTACAAGAGGAGAGACATTCTAGCAGCTGTGAGCGGTCGAGAGGGGAGGAAGGGAGACCAATGCCCGGAGGCCACTCACAGGTGGGAACAGCTGCTGCAAAAGTGACGTATGTAACGTCTATGGCTATTGCTGCTGCTGCAGCAGTTCCTGCTGGTGCTGCTCCAACTCCTGCATCTTCTACACCAACCTCTCCTAATCCTCGCGTTCAAGTCGCCGAAGAGCTTTGTGACGCATGTCATAGCGGTGAGGAGGCTGAACAGCTGTTGCAGTAGTATTGCCTCCAGCTCCAGCCCCCTCAACACGAGCACCTCCAAGGCTAGTACCAACAACTCGAGCAACCCCAAAGCTATCACCTCCAATGCCAGCGCCCACAGCTCTAGTACCCTCAGAACGAGCACCTCTAGTGCCAGTACCCTCAGCTCCAACACCCTCAGAACCAGCACCTCTACTGCCAGTACCCTCAACTCTAGAACCTTCAAAACCAGCACCTCCAGTGCTGATGCCTCCAGCACCACTACTCCCAGAGTCCACTGCAACCTGGTGCGGTAGTGCCGATGGCTGCTGCGGTGACTGTAAGGATGACTATGGGGAAGGAGGTGGTACCTGACGTGCTAGTGAGGGGAGAGGGGTAGCTTGGGACACATCTGACAGGGCAGGACCAGGGGGGCAGGGGGGGGGGGGAGGGGGGGTGGGGGGTGGGTGGGGGTTGGGTGGGGGGGGGGAGGAGGGTGTACTGGAGGAGCGGGAGCAGGAGGAGGAGAGGGGGCGAGGAAAAGGAGAGTGGGGGAACTGACCTTGACAGGGGTAGCAGCAGTAGTAGGACGCTGACTCGTCAAACTGGACATCACGAGAGTCGAGAAATCAGTGGAGGTGCGGGTGGTAAAACGTGACCACCGAGAAATCAAGGAAGACAAAGGGAAGGGTGCGAGCCAAAGCCTTGTCCGCAGAGGTGACACAGCCAAGCGCAAGGCAGCCTCAGCCATGAAACTGTGACGCAACACCAGGGGACGTGGTCCAACGACTTGTCAGTGAAGCCTCTGGCCGTGAGACACGATGCTAGAGGTTCCGTTGGTGGGCGGCGTAGCGAACTGCGGAGAGCCACATAAAATGAGGGGCTCGGGCATGAATCATGGAGGTGCAGGCGATCTCCTTGACCAAGCCTATGCGGAGCTTGGCAATCCCATTCTGCTGTGGGGACTCCAGAAGCATCCAAGACTAAGTGATGCCCTGCTCACTACAAAACTACAAATAATGTTGGGGCAAAACTCACCCTCACGGTCGGAGTGGAGACAAAGGACACGACTATCACGAGTGGCCTCAGTGGCCAGCAACCACCTGATCAAGGTAAATGTAACGTCGGACTTCTTTGCCAAGGGGAATACCTTGGTGTTGCAGGAGTAGTCGTCGACAACCACCAGAAAAAAAAACTCTCCCTCTTGGGCCCAGGGCGAGGGGTGGGGCCCTAGATGTCAAAGTGGAGAGTTTGGAAGAGTACGGTGGCCGGACAAAGGGAGGAGGAGTGAGGAGTGGCGCGCAGCCGACCCTTGACGCAAGGAGTGCACGGTGGCGCTGGCAAAGGAGGGAGCGATGCAAAGACGCATGGTAGACCGAAGACAAGATGCTGGCTAGAAATGCTATGGAAGCATGGGAGGGACGAGTGACCAAGACGGTGGTGCCATAGAACTGTTGGCTGGGTGAGCGACCGGCACGAGCACGATGCAGCAACCTGATCTGACACAGCTGTCAGAATGTAATTGTATACATCACTTTATAACTGCCTGCAATGTAGACTTAGTGTAGTTATCTTTCTTGTTAGGTGGTGCACCTTTCTTCTCTTCTTTCATATTTGTACCCTTGAGCCTATAGTGAAACCCTCATTCTCCTTTCCAATTCTCTCGCCACTCTAACCTAGCTATGGCTCCTAAGCCTAAGTCACGCTAGTGTTCTAATAACAACTACGCAGCGAAGGTGGCGTTCACAGCAAGTTCCCCCAAGCGAAGTTCCCCCAAGAGGCCCAAAAGTGCAGATATTTGGGTTCAGCATGGCAGTTTTGCAAATGACCACACCCACTCCACGTGCCATGCGAATGTGGATATGCACCTTAACGACTTTGGTTAGAGGTCCACAGGTGATCCCCGATTGATCCTATGGAAGGGTTATAGGCACGTTGGCCTGGGGGGTTATGGGCGCACTCACCCGCTACACAAACAAGCCCTTTTATCCCAGTGGTTAGTGACTGTGATTCTGACATGGTATCAGAGCGAAGGTCTCGAGTTCGAATCCCAGTGTGTGCAATTCGGGCATCTCAGTGCAGGGGGGTGTCAGAGGTCCACTGGTGATCCCCGATTGATCCTATGGAACGGTTACAGGCACGTTGGCCCGGGGGGATTATGGGCGCACTCACCCGCTACACAAACAAGCCCTTTTATCCCAGTGGTTAGTGACTTGACTGAGATTCGGACAAGTTTGAGCGGATTATCAAACCCCATCAGGTGCATGTAACCTCGTCGATTTGAAGACCGTTCATGACAAACTTTCGTAAAGCAACCCCAAACACGTGCTTCACAAGTATCTGTACATTGTTGTTGAGCGCGGTTCAACTTGGGGGAACTTGCTGTGAACGCCATCTAATGGGGATGGACACAGTGTGTACTGTGAAGAGACCGAAGCGAGGCTCTTGGCAAGGGTAGCGAAGGTGTCACCGTTCATGCACGTGGCAACACGCTCAGACGGAGGAAACCAAGTGTCGACATGGATGTCCAGAAGATGTCCAACACCCACCAAGTTCCTGGAGAACGAAGGGATGTGGAGACCAGTGAGGACACCAGAGTGGGCAGCCAGGCACAGGAGGGTGGTAGAGCTGTTTGATACTGTTGGCCCTAAAGTAGGATCAGTTACAGCAACCGGAACCTGATCATGAAGCGGTGTGAGAGTCGTGTGGTTGTGGAAGAAGCATTGAGATACGCCAGAGACTAGCGTGAAAGAGAGCAATACAGTCGTAGGTGCACCTGGTCTAGAAGCTGCACAAGCACCTAGACTGGAAGCACCAGCTCCTACACTCGCAGTAGTCAAGGATCCTAAGCTAACAAATCCAACAACACTTTAGTCAGCATCGGCATACATTACACAAGCAGATCCAAAGGCATCAACTAACTCTACCACAGGCATGCCCCATAAATCAACACCACGAGAGCAAGCAAGTGAGGCCCAGTCTGGAGAGGGGCCAAAGCTGTACTGTGCGCGGATGTGGTCCGTGAGCTGGTGATATCCATTTGCTTCACATGCCATCCCTTCACAGCTGCGCCAGCCAGCAAACTCCTCAATGTTACTGGCTTAGCCGCAGGAGCAAAATCGCATTGAAGTCAATCTTTTCTTTCTGCTGAAACCCATTGGCATCTAAGCGGCTCTTGAACCGCTCCAGTGCTCCATCAGCATCCATCTTCACTTTGAAGACCCACTTGCTACTGATGGGCCGTCGCCCTTCGGGTAGCTAAACAAGCTCCCAAGTCCTATTCACAATGAGACTGTTGAACTCCGCATCCATGGCAGCCTTCCACTCTTTCTTTTGGGGTCCATTGAGTGCCTCCTGCAAAGTGGCTGGTTCTATAGACAAGGGTGTGACGAAGCAAAAAGCCATTTTTTATCAATCTCTCTCATCAGCCTGAACCGCCATGACACCCTGATTGGGTCCTCCCAAACGGCTATATTTGAGCCTTAGTGCTGCCACTCTCTTCTCGCGAGTGGTAGTCTGCTGCCCAAGTGGTGAAGCTCTTTTCATCACACCCCCTTTCATAACCTTGGCTTGTACAGTAGGCTCGGGAAGAGGAGGTGGATCTTCACGTACTGACTCATCCTCCAACCCCTCCTCTGCAGCAAGACCAGCAACTTGTTGATCACCACCGCCACTGTGGTCACTGGTCAGCTCTGACCCATGGAGATCATTGAGGTGCAGTTGAACCTCCTCCACCGCGGACCGCTCAGTTTCCTGCAGACGGAGGCCGATCTGCACTTACTGCTGCTGCTGCTGCTGCTGCTGCTAGTCCTTGTACATGACGTCCTCAACAAATTTGACGTCACGATTGACTAGCGTCTTTGCATGGCCTCACCAAGCACATGAGGGTGAAATGGCATTGGACGAGGAGCATGGTGGCCGCGGGTAAAGTTGAGTTGCACTACGCGAAGACGACGGGGCAGACAGCTGAAGAGGCTGGTGGATCAACAGCATTGTCGTGTGTCGAACGTTTGGCGTGTTGCAAGTGCGTACAACAGAATTTCAAGAACTCAAGGATGAGTTTATGGTGAAGAACCAGAGCCTGGTTTTAAGACTCGAGTGATTTCGAAGCTTGCCAAAAGAGTAAACTTCAAGATAGTGAGAATAGTTACATTACAATGTGTAGTGTAACAAATTTCTTGGTGTAGGCCCTTGTGGATGGTACTTTCGAGACACTTCGTGGTTGGGGACAGTGTGGCATTGTTCCACATCACAGTACTTTGGCTGTTGGGGTTTGTAGCGGCTGGGAGGCATTCCCAACTCGTAACTCTTCCTAGTTTGTGTTCTAAGGCTATAGTGGCTGCCCTATGGCAGTTCGTTCAAACCGACGTGGCGTCATCAATACTTGATAAAATCGAGCAATTTGAATTGCCTATTGTAGACTACATAAGACGCTCCAAATCCAACTGGTAGCATGCCTTTTCAAGCTGTGTCCAGAATGCTATCAACGTTTAAAGCCGCTGTGCAGAAATCCGACTGTGCACTCTATATTTTGTTTTAGGCATATTTGAGCCTATTGTGACTAAAACAAATCCTATGACTCTGAACAAAGCCTAAACAACCACCCAAACTTTCTTTTCTTTGTCCTGCATATCATGTTACCGTTGTGTGCTGTGTAGACCTTACATTCATGTCCGATTCGCTGTAACAAAAGTCAATACAAACCTTGCTCTCCCTCTATGGCAGGAAGCCGTAGCTTTTAGGGCCTCAGAATCGTCTCCAATGCTGCTCCAACAACTGACCATGCGCCTGTCAGCAACGACACCTGCGGCCACACACCAACACCGCAGACCTCCAACATGTAGACGATAGCACCTGTTCCTATTGCCAGCGCTTACGCTTCCCCTACTACATAGGCTATTTATGGTTCAAGAGCTCGCCGTGCGGCTTCTAGGTATGCCACCAACGCTGCTGGTCATTCCACTCAGCAAGCAGGGCTCCATCAGCCCAATGCCACCGCTGTTTTAGTCTTGGTACTGGAGCTGTCTCATGGAGGTCAACTCTTGCATTGTCTGTTGCTCTGCCTAGCTGTGAGGCTCTGAACTACACCAGTGTTATGTCTGGATGACCGTTTTGCTCGCTGACTTGAGCGAGTCGCCTCTCGCTGCCCAAGTCCTGTTTTCTCACGTCTAGGCCATGATCCTATTGTGTCAATAGCTTCGACTGGTGGGCAGCACGAAGCACGTTGAGCTGCGTTACTTCCCAATGTGTGAGCTAAAGCTGCGCGGCTAGGCATGAGTGGTACCCATGGTCTCAAAGGCCAACACTGCTGATATCTTCACCAAGTTGCTTCAGCCTCCTGATCATCGGCGGTTCTGCATACGTTTGGGCCTAGCTACCAGAGTAAGCATACGTTAGTTTTGTGGTCATTGTTGTTTACTTTGTTTGTGGCCTTGAAAATATTAATTGTGTGAACTTATTTACAAGCCTTGTGCCTTCTTTGTCTAAGACTTTGGACTAGTTAGAGCGTGTTCCTATCCTCGTATCAAGACAACCTCGTCCCCTAAACCCAAAACCTCTCGCTAGTTTTACCAGGCAAAAAGTACATTCTTGATACGAGGTTTCCTGATATGAGGTCGTAGGAACACGCCCTTATGCCCCCCTAAGTTTGGTTTTTGTTGTTGCTTAGAGACTACCCCTTACCTAGCCTAAGGGTGTCAAACCTATTTATATCTGGGTTAGTTTCTAAAGGCTGGATAGGGTTAGACTTTAGGGAGTATGATATTTGTACTTGTGTTCACTATACCAGACTCCCCAACAAATTTTCTCTCGACATCCATCCCTTCACTGTAATTCCCTCCCTCCCTTCGTCGTGAGGTTCGTGTGTTGTGATGGCATCATTACTTACACTTCATCTCCAACCCTTTGCATGTCCCTAGTAAGGAGCACTATCGTTTGCATTTGTTGCATCAACTATACCCCATGACGCTGTTGGGTTGACTGCTTTCCAGCTTCTCACTTCCCCTACAAACAGCACAGATTTTGCAGTGGTCACCCGCATAGTCACCTGCCAATACAAGCACTCGTACTTAGGAGTCAGAGTCAATGAAGCCACCCGACCTCTAGAGCATTGGGCGATGGGCTTTGTTGCGGGGGAGGGGGGGGAGAGGGGGGGGAAGAGAGGGAGATTGAGGATTGATTATCACCACCTCGTCAGTTCTCTTTTTTCATCTGGCCATGCATGCATGTGCATGTGCCCATTCATGCATGTACATGTAACCGTGTATGTGTTGTACTCATGCAAGTGCGTAAATTGTACATGGATGTACCGTATTCACCTGGTCTAGCATGCATGCATGCACATGCATCTATCAGTGCACAATCATTCAGCTGCCGTCTCGAACCCTCCTCCTAGGCACCATACTGAACCGCTCCGGCCGCCTTGCTGGCATGCTCTTCCGCAAGGTATTTCACCCTTCCCATGATTTGTGTTGTCTTTTTTCAATGCTCGGTGTGCTTCATGGCCTAGACTCTATCTGCGCGCCAGAGTGGTCATCTATTGCGCATTTCTAATTCATCAAACTCTTTGCAAGGAAGCATTTAGCACACCACGTGCATGGCACGGATCACACCATGTGCTTGGCACAGATCACTCCATGTGCATGGCACAGATCACACCATGTGCTTTGCACAGATCACTCCATGTGCATGGCACAGATCACTCCATATGCTTGGCACAGATCACTCCATGTGCATGGGACACAGCATGCCATGTGTATGGCACATACGGTAACATAATTCATGTTTTAGTGAGCTGTTGCATCCCTGGTGCTTCCCTTTGTTGCTTCTCTCTTCAATGACTCGCTGTCGTGTCTCTCTGCCTCCCATGTGGTGTTTCAACCTTTTCTGACATCCTACTGTACGTTAATCATATCTCCTCTAAATGACCAGCCCATGTACTTCCGCAGTTGTACTCCATTTGCTATAGTTCAGCTTTTAGAAATATGCATTTGATATTTGATATGTACACATCATCAGGGCTGGTGTGACACCATGTCCTACGTACATTAGGAGGGAACATTACAAAAGCACGGAATGCCACCTACTGAGCTACTGGCATTCGTGGAGCATCTGTAATGTTCCTTCTCTGATTAGAATGCCCTCCCATGCACCCATCTGTACCGTTCCTCCTATCAAAGCCTGCCACCAATCAGCTTGCCCGACAAGCTGCTGCTGGTGCTGGCAAAGCCAATGGAGAGCTGCCCATTGGCGCCCGCCTGGATGGCGCTGAGCACGGGCGCCAGGTCCGCCGGCGCGACAGTGAGCACACTGGCCAGCGACCACGACACGGAGCTCAGCAGCTGCCACGTGCCGGGCAGCTGCAGCGCCACGGGTGGGGCTGCCTGGCCGCACGTGCTGTTGCCGCTGTAGATGGCCGCCGCCTGCGGTGCCTCCGCCATGCCCGTCGCCACCAGCTCGTACGCCACCGCGTATGACGAGCCCCTGCCGTGCGGAGGGGGGTGGAGGTAGGGTGCACCATAAGGGGGATAAGTATACTTCACTGGAGGGTACTACTATCTACTGCTTGGCAAGAGCTTTATGAAAGTCAGAGCTGATGGCAATGCGTGCGTTTAGAGCGTCGATGCTGCTCTGGAGGGCGGAAATCTGCGCCTAAAGCGCCCATGTTGCTGCGGATGCGTTGTCGCTCAACGCGGTCGCGAGCTTGTCGAGCGATTGCGTCAGAGTTCCCTCTAGTGAAACGACTTGCGCTTGCAGCGCGGAATTCAGGTCGGACACGGTGCTAGTGATCGTGCAGGTGACTTGTCCCGGTCGGTTCGGGATGCGATTTCCGAGCAGTCCGTAGGAGACGAGTCTAGCCTGTGCGCATGACGCGAATAGCGCGGTTACAAGCAGTGCCGTCACAAGTGATGACGCTAGAGGAGAACGCGCCATGGGGACGAAATGCGAAAAAAACACTTTAGTACTAGGGAAAGAGTGCGGCGCTCAGTAATCGCTGATGATACCAGAACGTACGGATTTTACGCTACGTAATGTACTCGGGTGGCTGAGGAAAACATGTGAGAGGAGTTAGGAATGAAGTTGATGATTTGATAGAGAAACAAGGGGGTATATATAGTAATGGGGTTGGATGCTAGCCTAAGGTGCCATTATTGGACCCCAACCAAGAGGTTGGGTTGGGAGATTATTGGTGGGGTCCAATAATGTTGGCCAAGGCCAACATTATTGGAGGGGGCCAATAATTCTATCCAACCCAACCTTTTGGGGTCCAATAATTGGACCAAGGTTGGGTTCCAACCTACAAACTGGGTTACCCCTGTTTGTACACCCAAACTAAGTTTGGGTGCTTAACTCTAGCCTAACCTATAACATATATGCAGGTTAAAAGAGAAGAGGGATTCTAACACAACCCCTTAACCGGCAGAGATGCGGAAAGGTGTGAGGGAAGCAACCCCTGAATCAAGGCGCGACTGGGGGAGCGAGGCCGATGAGGCGGAGAAGAGCAGAGTGCGCAGGGCGAAGAAGGGCTTTGGTAAAGATATCAGCCAAGTTGGCTTCAGCAGCGATCTTGCGAACGGCAAGGAGGTTCTGGTGGACAAGCTCGCGGATGAAGAAATAGCGGAGCTCAATGTGCTTGGAGCGTCCATGAAAGACGGGGTCCTGGGTGAGATGGATGGTGCTAGCGTTGTCACATCAAAGCGTGGGACAGCGCTAGGGTGCTCCAAGCTCTGCCAAAAGAAAGCAGAGCCAGCGGGACTCTTGTGCAGCCATGGTGCCAGCATAGAGCTCAGCTTCGCAGGAGGAGAGGGCAATGGCAGAGGAGCGAGTAGAACGCCAGCTGATAAGCCCGCTGCCGAGTGTGAAGCCATAGCCTTGCGAGGAGCGGCGGTCTGGCTGGGAGTCTGCCCAAGAGGAGTCGCTGAAGCCAGAGAGAAGGGGAGGGGAGGATCCACCTAGGGTGAGGGCGTGATCCTTGGTGCCACGGAGATTGCGGAGGACCCGCTTGGCCGCAGCCCAGTGTTCGTCAGAGTGGCGGCCGGAGCCGACAAACCGAGCAAGGACGCTGATGGGGTAGGCGAAGACGGGACGAGTGCACATCATCGCGTATATCAGCGACCCAACAAGCTCGGCATAGGGCCGGGAGGAGGGGGAGGGGGAGGTGGGTGGCGCGAGTTGGTGACCGAAAAGGAGGGGGGTGGAGACCGGTTTGGCCTGCGCCATCTTGAACTTCTCCAGGACCTGGCCGATGTAGTGGGACTGGGAGAGGGTGATGGTGCGGGCGGATCGATCACGAGTGATAGCCATGCCGAGGTAGTTCTGCAGCGGACCAAGGTCCTTGCACTTGAGACGTTCCAGAAGTGACCGCTTTGTCAAACATTATATATGTTGTGTTAGTTTAGGCTACAGTGGGTTAGCCTATAGGGGGTACACAATTCTAGGGTTAGGTACTTGTACTCATTTGATTGCTAGTTCATTCATTCCTGTTCAGTGATTCCAACATGGTATAGAGCAGGTCCTTCCTAGGACCGAAATTTTCTAAGGGCCCACCACTACGTAACTACCTACCTACCTACCTACCTGTGCCCTAGGGCGCCTCGGCGTGTCACGCCCCTAAAGGCCCCTCTTGACGGCCCCGCGCTAGCCCCGTTCAGGCCCCGTCGGCCCCACGCCCGCTCTCCCTAGCGGCCCCGTTCAGGCCCCGTCGGCCCCTTTAAGGCCCCGTTCAGGCCCCGCGCTAGCCCCGTTCAGGCCCCGTCGGCCCCGTTTCAGGCCCCGTCGGCCCCGCGCTAGCCCCTCTCAGGCCCCGTCGGCCCGCGCTAGCCCCGTTTCAAGCCCAGTTGGCCCCGTTTCAGGCCCTGTTGGCCCCGCGCTAGCCCCTCTCAGGCCCCGTCGGCCCGCGCTAGCCCCGTTTCATGCCCCGTTGGCCCCGTTTCAGGCCCCGTCGGCCCCGCGCTAGCCCCTCTCAGGCCCCGTCGGCCCGCGCTAGCCCCGTTACAGGCCCCGTCGGCCCCGCGCTAGCCCCATTCAGGCCCCGATCGGGCCCGCGCTAGCCCCGTTTCAGGCCCCGTCGGCCCCGTTTCACGCCCCGTCGGCCCCGCGCTAGCCCCGTTCAGGCCCCGTCGGCCCCCTGCTAGCCCCGTCAAGGCCCCGTTTGGCCCCGCGCTAGCCCCACTCAGGCCCCGATCGGCCCCGCGCTCGCCCCTCTAGGGCCCCAACCGGCCTCGTGCCGACCTCGCCGACCCGTGCCCACCACCTAGAGGCCCCGGGCGGCCCGTTCCCGCCGCAGCACACGAGGGAGAGCGGGCGGCCCGTCCCCGCCGTGACCCAAGCCGCGCGACCCGAGCTGCGCGCCCCGAGCCGAGCCGCGCGCCCTGAACCGAGCCGCGCCAACCAGCCGAGCTGCGACCCGACCTGAACCGAGCCGCGCCGCCCTGCCCTACCTGGTTCGTCCTACCTGCTTCTCCTGCTGCTACTGCTGCTATTTCTACTGTTCCTATGGCTAGCCCACAGGTTCTCGTGTTCGATGCTGAGGGCCGCCCTGTGAAGTTTGACACCTGGCTCGATGACCTGCACCTCTACCTACAGCTCACAGCCAAGGATGACATCTCACTGTACGATCACGCCCTAGGCCATGTCACTGCCCCTGCTGCTACTGGTGACAGCACTACTCGCTCACAGTGGCAGACTCGTGATGCCCACGCTCGCTTCGCCATTCGCAACTCCCTGCCGATAGACGAACGCGAGCACTTTGGTCAGCACAAGACTGCACAGGCACTGTACACAGCTATAGTTGCTCGCTACTCCTCACCTGCCTCTGCCGCACTAGGCCGTCTCTCCCTCCCCTACCTGTTTCCCGACCTGGCCTCCTTTCACACAGTCGCTGACCTCATCACGCACCTCCGTACTAGTGAGGCCCGCTTCCGTGCCGCCATACCTGCTGAGTTCCTTGCCACGCACCCTCCTCCACTCTGGCTCACTCTCTACCACCTAGTCACCCGCCTCCCTAACACACTGCGTGCTGTCAGGGACCACTTCCTAGCTCGTTGCCCCACTGAGCTCACCATTGCCCTCCTCGAGAAGGAGCTACTTGCAGCTGAGACTAGCATAGTCGCTGTAGGTGCCTCTCGTGGCGACCCCCGTACCCCGTTCTTTGAGGGGTGTTCTCCTTCCCCCCTTCTTCCCTCTGTCACCTCTGCTGCTGCTGTCGACCTTCTTGGTACTAAGAAGGTCGGCGCTGCGTCTGCCTCGAGCGGACGCCGCAGCGGCAAGGGCAAAGGGGGCAAGGGTGGTGGCGGTGACGGCGGGGGAGGCGGCGGTGGGGGCGGTGGAGGCAGTGTGGGTGGTGGCTCGGCTGGAGGGGCGAGTGGTAGCGGTGGGGGTGGTGGCGGCAGCGGCGGGGGAGGTGGCAGGAGTGGAGGCAGCGGTTGGGGTGGTGGTGGACGAGGCGGCGGCAGGGGTTGGGGTGGTCGAGGAGGTGGCAGCAGTGGTGGTGGCCGTGGAGTCACTGGCGGTGGCCAGGGCCAGCAGCACACTTCCTCGCCCCAGGAGGTCCGTGAGTGGTACTCTCAGCACGGGGGTGGGGGTGGTCTTAGCTGCACGTACGTCATTCGCACTGGTGTCCGCACTGGTCAGCAGTGTGGACGACCGCACGCCACACAGCGCTGCTTCTCTCGTCTCGACGACGCTTGGCGTGTTCAGTTCCCTCAGGCCACTGAGCTGCCCCGCTGGCTTGATCTCCTGAAGAAGGGGATAGATATCTATGCTCTAGACTTTGATGCTATTCTATCTCCCATATATGTGATGTCTACTAGTGGAGAGGGTGCTGAGTACTTGTGTGTGCCGCCCGACCCGGGCATTAGGGCCAGTGCGTCTGCCGCTCCAGATACTCGCGTGTCGGCTACCCCAGGTGCTGGTGAGGCTGCTGCTCTAGGTGCTCGTGTTTCTCCCCCCCTTGGTACTGCGTCGACTGCTGCACTGCACACCTTCACATTGGACTCAGGTGCTTCTCGCGGCTTCTTTCGTGACCGCACTGCCCTTGAGCCGCTTGCTCGGCCAGTTGCTGTCTCCCTTGCTGACCCCTCTGGGGGTCCGGTCATTGCGACCTCTTCCACTGTCCTTCCCTGCCCTGCGGTCCCGTCGGGCACACTGTCAGGTCTCCACCTCCCCTCGTTCTCTACAAACTTGGTGGCAGGATGTGCACTCCAGGACGGGGGTGTTCACCAGTTCACCCCTGCCTACGAGCGCGTGACACACTACACGTGTGCTTGTACGGGCCGTCACTTGGCTACCTTCACTCGGCAGCCGGGGTCGGACCTATACACACTGACCACTGAGTCCCCTCAGGTTGCTGCGACTGCGTCCGCGTCCGCGTCAGGTCAGCTGTCCGCCCCCTGCTCGTGTCGCTCTTTGGCACACGAGACTGTCCTCTGGCACCACCGCCTTGGCCACCCGTCTGTGCAGCGGCTTCGTGCCATGCACTCCCGGTACCTTGTCTCTGGCCTGCCCAGGGTCCTTCCTCCCCTCCCACCCTCGCCTGCTCCTACCTGTCTCCCCTGTGTCGAGGGACGGCAGCGCGCCGCTCCTCACTCCTCCTCGTTCCCCCCGATGACTGCTCCCTTGCAGACACTCCACATGGACGTGTGGGGCCCAGCCCGCGTCCGTGGTCAGGGTCAGGAGAGGAACTTCCTGATAGTTGTTGACGACTACTCGCGCTACACCTCGGTCTTCCCCTTGCGCACCAAGGGTGAGGTCCCTGATGTCTTGATCCCTTGGATCCGTAGAGCCCATCTCCAGCTCAGCGAGCGTTTTCACTCGGACTTTCCTGTCCTGCGCTTGCACTCTAACAGAGGTGGTGAGTTCTCCTCCGACCTCTTGGCAGCCTACTGTGCTGAGCACGGCATTGAGCAGTCGTTCACGCTTCCGGCTTCTCCACA